ATTTGATTCGCTTCTAGAGATATCTCTATATTTGTTATGCGATGTATTTAGTCTATTGTTGAGTGTTTATTATGAAATCCGAATTGATTGGAAGGAATAGTTTATGTTTGGTTGTATCGTTATTAGTAATATCTTGCCAAATAATTTGGAGATAATTGGCAGCAACAATATAGGTCTATACGATTCTACTTTATTTACTGATTTTCCTGGTTTGGAAATAATGATTAGTTCAGCTCTTTTCCACGTTATTGGTACACATTGTATGAATGCTGTATTTATAAGGTTTGTGAGTTTTACGATGGCCTTCCTAGATAATTGTTATAGTATTTGTCCTGTTAAGTCAAATTCCAGTGCCTTTTTGGGATTGATATTATTTTTAATTACTTTGGTTATTTTTAAGGGGTCTTTACTCTTTATTATTCCTTGATCAGTATTGTTCACAACGTGTTAAGTACTCACATCATCCTCGTGTTCCGTTTGATCACTATTTTCTATTTCGTAATTTTGGAATACATTCTTTAAGTATCAAGCGAACAGATTTCCTTTTTGTTTTCCATCCCGTGTCTATGTTTCATGTTCTTTTATAATCGACGGAAGCTGTTGCATTATATCTTTGTTCTTTTGATTATATCTATTTCTAGGTTTAACTGATAGGTGAGGTTGTTTTACTTAATAGAGTTCTGCTTATTGTCATGTTTTCCAGGCTTTTATTTTTCTTGGCAACAGTTACCGAATTTCGTTGGAATAATTTTGACCTTTAGTTTTTCGTATAGTTTGTTTGGTATTGGTCGTTTCTGATTTTTATAAATGGTTAGTTTCTCTTCATATAATAGTTCATTAGTTTTTACCGTTTTCTATGTTTCCCTTGATGACATCCCTCTTACCATTATCCCAAAACGGTACGAAGTCTGTAAATAGCGAATATATTCGATAAACACCATCTAAAAATAGTTACCGCTGTTGCATCTTCACATTTGATAATGAATTCTACAGTTACAGATAAAATATCAGGAGACGGTAATTCTTAGTTTATACACCTGAACATCAAGGTATCAATAGTTTCCAAATAAGTTTTTCAGATTTTCCGTGGTTGATTATAATAAAAGACTAAAATGCACAAGATACTATACTATATTCTCTAGTAGAGGTAGAGGAATTTATTATTTATTGAGTCATTTGTATTAGTGTCTGTCCTCTATTATTTTATCAGTTCTTTTATTTCTTGAGTGATGATTGCATGTCCAGCTGTTCGCTTTCGATGTTCTCATTTATTATTACTTTTGGTGTGGTCAACAATTCCTCCCTGTCTTCTATTTTGCACAGTTTAGTGAAATAATCGATCTATTCTTCCTGGTATGTCATGCGTGTCAACTAGTTTATTAACTTCTTTTCTGTCTGATCGTAATCCTACACATCTGTTTCTGTAGACCATAGCAGTTGTTTTCTATCCCTTTGGAAAAGGCTTCCCAGTATAGGTTTTTCGCTTGTCTCACCAAAATCAACTTTGATAATGAAATTTAATAGTACAAATGTTAATTTAAGCGTTACAAAATACGAAACCTCTCTCCCAGGTGCATTGAAAATTCTAATATAAAGCCAGGCCAATCAACAAAACCCAAGGTATAAACGAAGGCTATGAATAGGTAACAATCATATTCGAGTGAGTGCTTCAGGTAACGGAAGATAATTCGTTAGCACGGTTGTCACACCAACTCTTGTATGTCAGCTAGAGTTGCTGATGAAACTTAAAAAAAAAATCCAGACTGTGTCCTATAAAACCCGAAACAGTTGATCATTATAAAACACCGACCGGAAAAGTCTACAAGAAGAGATATTTCAGTCGCAAGAGTTTAACTTTAATAACTGTTTTTGGAGAAAAGTTAAATTTATTTTGCTTTGAACACTTTATATCTATTGATGAAATGATGATATATGAAATTTTAACATATTTTGTTTTGTTAAATTTTTGTCTAAAAAGTAAAACTAATTTTGAAACTTTTGTTTATCTGACGGTATTGCCAGTACTAAATTAAAAATATGGTTTTATAGTATAAGATATATTTTAAATAATATACTTTATTTTTACATACATAAATACAATTATATGTAGATTATAGTGTTGTGTAAGTATACCTAAAATATATGAGATTTTTTATATGTATGTAATAAATATATCAATATCAAACTGAATCATTTTTATTGAGTTTTTCAAGCATATCTATATTTCCTTTTATTTTTATCTTACATTATTTACGAGGATATATTGATATTAAACTAGCCTTTATAGATGGCGCTACTTGATACCGAATTGGTTTCGGTGTTGACATTTACCATTCATGACATGACGTCTGTCAAAATTTTAAGTTTTAAAAACAATTAGTTTGGTTTTTACAGCCGTCAAAAGCAAGCAAGTTTTGTGTTCGGAGAAATGGAAAAAGTCGAGTATCGTTCGGTGATTAAGTTCCTCCACAAAAAGGGTAAAACGAATGTGCAAATCAAAGCCGACCGGAACGAAGTTTATGTTGAGGTTGCACCTTCGTTAGCAACAGTAAAATTTTGGAAAGCTGAATTTGTTCGTGGTGGTAGGAGTGTTTTTGATGATCAGCGTCCCGGGAGGTCAAATAAAGTCACCACGCCGGAAATGATCAACAAAGTCCATGACATGATTATGGCAGATCGTCGAATTAAGCTTCGCGAGTTAAAACATTTCCTACGAACGAGTACACAAAATCATTCACCATCATCTGGACATGAAAAAGTTATCCGCTTGATGGGTGCTGCGTTTGCTGACAATCGATCAAATGCAAAAACGTGTAACCACTTCGGAGACGTTTTTGGAGATGATACGGTGCGATCCGAAGGATTTTTTCTCCGATTTATCACCGTTGATGAAACCTGGGTGCATTATTACACACCGGAAACCAAGAACGGTCGAAACAGTGGCACAAACGCGGCGAAGGACCATCGAAGAAGGCAAAGAGTGCACATTCGACCGGCAAAGTGATGGCGACTGTTTTCTGGGATGCGAAGGGCATCTTCCACATCGACTACTTGAAAAAAAGAAAAACAATCAATGGTGAGTACTACACAGCATTATTAGATCGATTTGATGCCGAATTGTGTCGAAAACACCCCGGTTTGGAACGCAAAAAAGTGCTCTTTCAAACAAACAATCGGCCGTCGCCATGGCAAAATTACACGAATTGGGCTATGAATTGGTTGAACACCCACCGTATTCCCCAGATCTTGCCGCCAGCGATTTTTTCCTGTTCCGGAGTGTATTGTATACCAGTTATAGGTATCAATTTTTAAAAGAAAACTTTAAGATCAAAAAAGACACACTGCTAATGGAAAATCTTTTGCCAGGAAACCGTACATGGTAAAAGAATTCAAATTTGACGATCTAAAACATCTTGCCAATAGAAATAGCATTAGAAATCAAGTTAAGTGGTTAAAAATTAAAAATTCTTTATTTTAGGCGATATTACTAAAATTAATTTTAATTATGACTTGTCGGAAACGCTTTTATCAAAATCTCTCAAAATACGGACCATGTATCACCATTAAAAACAAAGCAAGTGGGATACTGCACTTACTGCAAGTCTTATACGTACCTTAAAGCAACTTTATAACTACCCGCTATCCCTTAGTAAAGCAAGACTTGCTTAGTTTGTGCCAAAAATAGATTATCTCCGAAGAATGCCACAGCTTGTATTTTTCCCTACGATAGATAAGAAACCAGATCGTTTACCACAGCCTTCAGTTAATGAGGAATCTGGGGAAGATGATTAATAATGTGTGATGAAAACTATACATAATTTTTTGTGTTCCCATAACTAATTTGAGTAGATACTGACTTAAATACATGTCTTTAATTATTGTAAAAAATTTAACTTTTATTTTATGTTAAACAAATTTAACGTTAATTACAAAAATAATGAGCTTAAAGTAGGTATTCTTATTGTATACATGCGGCCATATATCAAACAGCAAATGTGAATTTGTGAAGCGAATTAAATTCTGCAACCTTTTTCTGAAATGGTTCTTTTTTTTATCACGTTTAAACGATTTCATCAACTTACGGTAACTGTCATGATAAGAACATATTAGTTGGACGATTCTGTATAGGTTGTCACAGTTGGTATGGAAGCTTTATCCTACAATACTTTCACTTTAGGAGCCACAATATTTGCAACTTTACTAAAACTAATAGGCTTATTTGTCTCTAAGGCGTTATTATATTGTTCATTATATCAGCAGCGAAGAACGTTCTCGTATGTCGAAAGCTTATTCACAGGCAAGTCTTTGGATGGACCGAATAGTGGACACTCAAACTCACTTCGTGTTAACTTCTTGGAAACAGACATAACTTGATGCAACATTTACTTAGTTAACTACGTCAAAACATGGCGATACTCACTTCTGGAACATCAATACAACACAGCCACTGTACTGTACATCAGAGCAAGAGACTGGCTAACTCTCAATGCATTGTGGGCGGTGTTGGAAGAAGGCGGGTAGTAGGGGAAATGTGTCGAACTGAAGACCATCACTGCCGCCACCCACACGCAATACGACGCCAACATAACACCCAACACAACATACTAGACCACACCTTCTTTTAAGGTGCAAATATGTGAATTTTACCTTTTTTGAGTATCTTGCGCTGCTGCAACTTAAAAGATATTGTCACTATTGTGAAAAACAATTATCACTATAGCACATTAAAATATTATTGGCTAAAGATAGTAAAAATAATTGCAAAATGTCTTGACTTCTAAAAAAATCAAACTTTCAAATTTTTAAGTATGATGCGCTAGCTGGGGGTTCAATATATATCTTTATTTCACTTTGTATTTTACTGAAATACCCCAAAGGCAAGTTTTCCGCGGTATAGTATATATATACGGAGCTAATAAAGCATGATAAACTAATATTGTACCTATCGTTAGATGTTAATAAAGCGGTGTTACTAGAAATATCTCAGTAGTCTCGGAGTTACATATTTAATTCTTTATTGAATATTATTGACACTTAAATATAATATATAAATTTGAGCAAATACCTATAGCACGATGATTCATTAATTAAACATAATTGTTCCCTTCTTTATCTCTACTTTTAGTTTTAAATAGTATTTTATTCCTTCTATCTATTTTTTTGCTGTAATTTTCTGCTTGGTCCGTTTTGACTTCGACTATTCTAAAAGCACCAATTAAAACCGCCATTTCTCTAATGAAGTATCCTATAGCTTCAGCCACTGGATTGCAAATATCTCTTATCGATGTGAGAATATTGTACAAAAGTATCAAAATTGGTTGTATTATGGAGTTAAACAATGTAGTTAGCATAGGTTTGAAGAAATAATCGGATACAATTTGAATAATTCCTACTGTCAAAGGTTTTAGTATACTGTACAGAAAAAATCTTATAGACTGTAGTACGAAGGACATAAAAAAAGAACAACCGATATTGAAGCTTCCAAAGAGTTCAGCCCAAAATTTTGTCGTGTACGCTTCAGTTCGCAAAGCCAGATCTTCACTAGCTATAATCGGCATTTTATCAGTTGTTTGAAAGTAGCTAAAAATTAAAAAAATATACTTTAATAATATATAAATAGGATAGTACATTACTTTAAACAGAATATAACGCAGATTTAAAAGGGTATTTAGTTTATGGTTTACATTAAAAGAGTTAATTCGCAGTGCTATATATATGCGTGTCTAGGTATATGTGTATGTATTGTAACGTAACTATTTTGCCTACCAAAGGGTTCATTAGCGGGGTGGAGATGGGGCAAGCAAAATAATCGCTACTTGTGGGAACGGCACTCAGGGTTTGGTAGGAGAGCTGGGGTCGTGGATAAGTAAAAGATAAGTGAGTTGGAATGGGGCAGCTACAAAAAATGAAATAAAGGATTACTTAATCTCCTGGGGAAACAAAATAAAAATAAACAGGAAACACCTCAAGGAATTTAATATAGGGCGCCACTTGAGGTGCCTAATTATATCTATTACAACCACTAGTTTTAACTAGGGAAATAATTATAAAACATCAAAAACATATCTTTCTCAAATAAAAATCAAAAAAGGGTTAGCTCAAAAAAACTAAACAAAATGTTAAGAAAACAAAATTTAACATTTATTTTTGTGTCGCCACAAACAGTTACAATATGGAGAAATACAAGAATACAAAAAACTTACGTGTGTCATCCGCTTACAAAATCCAGGAGAAGGAGATACTACATAAAACTTACAAATGTTACCGCATTACAATTTTTAAATGTCACAATTTCTAAATTTTAACGAAAGCAATTATTGTTCTAAAAAAATATCTGTCTTTACTTTGAAATTAAACAAACAATAAACAGTTAGTTTACAAACTCCAGGAGAAGGAGAGACTACATAAAACAGGAACTAAAGGAACTTCTGCCAAAATGGCATATTTCTCATTGTTCGAGTCCCATCTTCGATATGGGCTTCCATTTTGGGGTTCTAGTACAGGGGCCCAATTTGATACTATTTTTAAGTTGCAAAAAAGAGCAATTCGTTATCTATTTGGTCTCAAACAAACAACTCATTGCAAGACCTACTTCAAAAATCACGGAATTTTGACGCTTCCCTCTTTATTTATTTTGGAAACGGTTTGTTTGATTCGAAAGCATCTAAACATTTTTCCCGATAGACCTGACCATGGCTACTCCATTAGAAATTCGGATTGTAACGTTTATTTGCCGATCCCGTCCACTCAGCTAGTACAGAATTCTATTCTATATCGTGCAAAGAAACTTTATAATCACCTTCCAAGAGAAATTAAATCCGCAACATCCTTCATTAAGTTTCGTAAGGTGACAAAAATCTATCTCTCAGAAAGACCATATTATTCAGTTGACGAGTTTCTTAATGTATAACAAAGAAACAAAATTAGTATTGTTTATAATTACATTTGGGTGTCTCAAGCAGTGGCTATAATTTGTCTCATTTGTTGTTGTCTGTACAAATTATGTAGGTTATACAATAATTCTACTAATTTAAAATTGTGTTATTCTGTTTTTTACTATATTTGTTTTTGTTTTATACTTTTGTACTATTTGACTGATTTATTTTTTAGCTTTGTCCATAAAATTGTTCAATAATTTTCAGTGACAATAAAGAATATTTCTAAACTTGTTCAACTTTTCAACAGGAACTAGACTTTTCAAACATCTTAAAATATCGAGCGAAAACTCCACTAATTTTAGCAAATTAATGCCGGTCACTTCATAATAGATAAAAATCCACCACTACTGCTACTTATTTCCACAAAAGGAGCGAAAAACAGAAAACCACAAATTCGACAACGAATTCGGATCCATACCTGACACTACGACGACCCAAGTATGAATTAAGATCCATACCTAACACTACGAAGACCCAAGTATGAGTGATGAATTTAAAAATTCGTTCATATAACTTAAAGATAAACAAAACGCTGAAATAGCAAAACACAACGAAACGACGTAGATATCCTTTTGCGACGTATAAAAATTATAAGACGCCTTCGAATAAAACATTAAAAGAAATTGCCGAAGTAAATATCTTTAAAATACTAAACAACTCTGAAATGGTTTTATTAACATCCAGCAATTCAAATACAATTATTGAAAACACTTTTGCATATTTTAACTTGAAACTAACGAAAACGGAAAAAATTCTTCGTTTTATTTTGAAACATATATAAGGAGATTTCAATATATTTCATATACGAGGGGATTTCAATATACTTCAAAGAATCAATGAAATTGAAAATGCTACAATACCCCCACGTAAGAGCGAAAACTGGACTAGCAGGAAAAGTTTTCGATTAGGTCAAACAACAATCAGGTTGGAACAACAGTAGCGTTTTCTAACTATTGCAACAATACATAATGACTTCAATAACTCAAGCAAAACAAATAAACAACAAACAAAATCATAATCAAAAACTTCTCATAACTGTTTATGGTACTAACATAATAACATAACAAAATAAAACTGATGCTCGATTTGACGAATCGGCACCAGGTACAGTTCGTTGGCTCTTAAGCAAAACGACCAATGGCAGATTTCTATTATAATAGCTCTAGCCTAACCAAGACGTGGAACAGACGCTTGTTGAAGTTTCTGGAAGCGAAAAGAAGGGATGCTTCCAGCTCAACAAAGGCGGGTGGCCAACAACACAGTTTAAACAAGCTTCGCTATGGTTATCTACTCGATAGATAACCAAAATAGCATCAAACAATAATAACACGGTTGACTATGACAGTCAACCAATTAATTTCCAACCACTGGTTGAAAATTAAACCAACACAAACAGAAGAAAAACAGGATGGCCAATAGTTCCATAGGAATATCCTCCGGGATCGACACAGCAAAAAATTTCCAATTCAGGAAACTCCCAAAAGGACCAAAGAAGAAAATAAATCCAAGACGTTAAAACACAATCTTGGAAAAGAAGAAAGAACAGGGGCACATGGCATACAAGCCATAATCAATACACAATCAGTTCAGTCTCAAACTAAATACTTCCAGAAGAAACAAAAAAAATCGTAACAGTCTTTATCCATTGGGGGCTGGAACTAGCACACTTGAAAAAACGGGAATTCTCAAAAAAAAAAACAGGAACTAAACTTGTTCAACTTTTCAACAGGAACTAGACTTTTCAAACATCTTAAAATATCGAGCGAAAACTCCACTGATTTTGGCAAATTAATGTCGGTCACTTCATAATAGATAAAAATCCACCACTACTGCTACTTATTTCCACAAAAGGAGCGAAAAACAGAAAACCACAAATTCGACGACGAATTCGGATCCATACCTGACACTACGACGACCCAAGTATGAATTAAGATCCATACCTAACACTACGAAGACCCAAGTATGAATGATGAATTTAAAAATTCGTTCATACAACTTGAAAATAAACAAAACGCTGAAATAGCAAAATACAACGAAATGACGTAGATATCCTTTTGCGACGTATAAAAATTATAAAACGACTTCGAATAAAACATTAAAAGAAATTGCCGAAGTAAATATCTTTAAAATAATAAACAACTCTGAAATGGCTTTATTAACATCCAGCAATGCAAATACAATTATTGAAAACACTTTTGCGTATTTTAACTTGAAACTAATCTAATAACTTTGTTATGTAACACTTAGGTCTCTGTTGCTAAAAAAGTAAATATTAAGAGACATCATAAAACTGTTCATTCTAATTTTGAAAAATCATTCTCACTACATTCTGCCGCTAGAAAGGAGAAACTGAAACAGTTAAAAAACGGTTAATTGGACAACAATCTATATTTTTAAGAACAGTCGACAAAAATAAGGCTGCAACTAAAATATCGTACCGTGTATCCCAAATAATTGCACAAAAAAGAAACCTTATGAAGACGGGGAAATGATAAAACAGGTTTTCTTAGAAGCTGTTGATTCGTTATTTGCCAACTTTAGAAATTAAGGCGAGATAGTTTCAGCTATAAAATCTATGCAACTTTCTGCTAATACAGTGATGAGACGTGCAGAAGTAATAAGCAATGATATTTTTTACAGTTAAGAACTGACTTATATAACTGTTTATTTTTCACTTCAACTGGATGAATAAACAGATCTAGTTGACACTGCCCAGATGGCCGTGTTCGTCAGGATGGTTTTTAGTGATTTTACGATTAAAGAAGATCTTTGAAGTTCATTCCACTGAAAGGACACACTACTGGACAGGAGTTGTTTTCACATTTAAAAAATATTATTTCTTCCGAGAAAATTCCAATATCCAAAATGGTAGGCTTGACAACCCATGGCGCTCCAGCTATGGTGGGTTGTGATAAGGGTCTGGTGGCGTTATGTCGTAAAGATGAAACTTTTTCGCAATTTCTATGTTACCACTGTATTATCCATCAGAAAGCATTATGTGCAAATTTCCTGAAACTAAACAACGTCATGAAACTGGTGGTAAAAATTGTGAACAAGATTAGAGCTCAAGCGTTACAAAGAAGATTATTTAAAACCTTGGCCGATGAAGTTGACTGTTAATACGGGGATCTACTCCTTCACTCTGAAGTACGATTGTTAAGTAGAGGACGGGTGCTGAAACGTTTTAATGATGTCCTATCTGGCATAGTTCAATTTTTCAAACAACGCGATGAACCGACTCCGGAACTAGAAAATTCAATCTGGCTTAGAGATTTTGGTTTTCTCGTGAACATTACAGAGAAATTAAACGAACTTAATTTGCAGCTTCAGGGGAGAGACAAAGAACTAGCGGAAATGATTTCTGATATAAAAGCATTTATCAAAAAGCTGGAGTTTTGGGAACAAAACCTAATTAACAGCGATTCCAAGAATTTTCCTATTCTTTCAGAAAAAATATTTCAAAATCCATTAGAACCCTATGACAACAAATATTATGTAGAAATAATGTCTACCCTGAAGAGTAACTTCAGAAATCGTTTTAAGAATTTCAGAAATGGCTTTAGTAGCGCAGTTTGTTGTTTCACCCATTATGGACATTGATATCCAGCAGTTTGCAGCTTGTGTTATGCAGAACTTTGGCGAAGACATTGCTGCAACAGAAATGGACGTCATTGAGTTTCAAAATGATTTAGCCTTAAAATCGTTAGTCTCAAGTACTGACTGTATCTGGCCTATTGTAAGTAAAGACAAATATTTAGTTCTATGCCGTGTTGCCTTGAAAGGGAAAGCATTATTCAGTTCAACCTATTGGTGTGAATCTTCTTTTTTAAATATGAAGTTTATTAAGAACAAATATCGCAATCGACTTACAGATGAACATTTGGATAATTGTATTCGAATGGCTGCATCAAATTATACTGCAAACATTAAAAAAATTATCGATGAGTCTGAGTGTTAGCTTTCTCGTTGAACGTGCTTTTTTATTTTTAATGTTTATGTTTATGATAGTGCGTTACTTTTTTGTTATTATTATTAACTATTTTTAAATCATACTTTTTTGTTATTATTATTAACTATTTTTAAATCATACTTGACATCCCGTTGTGGCTGGATAAAAGTTTGTGTTTATTTTTCAAATACCTTCGTTTGATATGTAGGAATGTAGCTATGAACAAGTATTACCAGTTAAATGTATTAGTTATTATGTATTACCCGTTAAACAGTAAAATAAATACATAATAATGATAGATTAACTGTGGATTATTTCATTTACGTTGCGTTCAGTGGCTTCCGTGTGGGTAGCTCGCTGTTTCTTCCAAAATTAACAAAGTAGCTCAACACATTGAAGAGGTTGGCGACCACTGATATAGAGAGTATAACAAAAAGGTAGGTCAGAAATTAAATCACTTATTACAGGACCACAAATAGTTTAATTAAACCTAACTTACCTTAGTACAAACGTGGACATAAAAAAGTTATGGCCCTTTCAATTTAAAAAATAAAAATCGATTTTTCCAACGATTTTTACAGCGGTAAAAATTATTTACACTTTCTACAAAACTTTTACCATACTCTGTTTCAATTCGTTTTTTTATATCTGCATTTTCTTCAGTAGGATCTTTAAGCTCTTGTTCATACTGCTTCTGTTCATCTTTTATTTCTTAGACGTCTGTAGTTAGTTTTGTTACATTCTCAGTTAGTTTTTCTAACATTTTTAGTACTAGATCCATTTTATTTTCCTTTAGATTTATTCCACTTTCACCCCTCTACTTTTTTAGCTATTATCCATATCATATTCGTTACCGAAACTATCCATTGCTGTATTTTCTGCAGCCTTGCCAGATCGTTAAAATACCTGTGTTATTTTCTATTTGCTATTTTCTTTTTATTTTGATTTCCGATTTAAATATATTACGAATTAATAGTAAATTATTTAATTAAATATTAAATATATAAATTTTGTAAAAAGTTTTCGACGTTGCAAACTATTTTGGTGTAGCCCACCTGCTCCTATCGTTGTTATCGCTGAGGTATATTTATCTGGTTTTTAACAGTTTACAATAATTAATGATTTATCACTTACTAAATTCAGTTAAAAAGAGAATTTTTATCTCTACATAGTTAATCCTGTGTTAAAAATTTTGAAATGTTTTCTTGTATGTCTCGAAAATCGGGAATTATTACGGACATAAATTATAAAAAGTTTATAAGCAAATAATATACTGATTAAGTGTTTTACCTTGAACAACCGTGATCAAAGTAGTACACGTTTTTTCTTAATTTCATTTACATATGTGTATGGGGATTTTCTGTTAAGTTTCTTTTTTTGGGAACATATTTGACAGTTGGTCATACTACTCTGTTTATTGGTTTGTATAAACTGTTCTTTGGTTGTCGTGTATTTGGTTTCTTTTTCGGGTTGCAAACAAAAATGGTTTTCTTCTGTTAAGATATAATTTTTTTCTGGAACACAATCCCCATGGTCATGATTGTTTACTTGAGTATGGACATTGTCAACTAAGTCAAACACCAAACGCTAAAAATCATATAGATACTTTTTATTACGATAATGTAGAACCACAATATTGTACAATTAAATTTAAACAAATTTCTAATCAAGTCATATTTCTCTTCTTCACATATTTTAAATCTGGCAAATCACCCTAGGAGTTATTAGTTTTTTTTTTGTAAACTACTGATATTACAAATTAGAGTTCATTGAAAAGTAGTAATAATGGGGCACGGGTCACTCAAAAAGAATATTTCCATAGTTTTCTCCTGATTGTTGTAAAACACGACTGAATGGAATATCATTGTTTTGTGATAAAGGTGTGACGAGGTAAGATGAGAGATATTCTTACATGGAATTGGATCTCTAGTAGAGCCTATCATTGCAAAATTCGAAGAGGTACAAACCTTAAAAAAGTGGTTAATCGCCTAGCGTTAAACAGTCAAAGTTTAATATACTGCCACAAATAGGTGGCAGGTAGCACTCTTCTACAATCCCAGTAGAAGACAGGCTGCTACAGGAATTAGTGACCCTGCCTTATGCTAGCTTCTGGTTCTCCCTCCTTCCTTGCCTGAGGCAACCAAGTCCTCATACCCTTTTCCTATCCCCCCCTTTTAAAACTCCTACCTTCATCCTACCCTCTACCAACTCGCACTGGCCAGCGCGGTACAGTATGGCTAAAAGAAAGACAGCAAACAGAGGGTGCGAAGAATCCCCGGGTCAGATCAGGCTACCACGGACGACGACAAATGTATATCGCCACGTACAATATAAGAACACTGTCATCTGAAGAAAAATTACTGGAATTAGAAGAAGAGTTAAAACACATAAAATGGGACGTTATAGGTCTCTGTGAAGTAAGACGTGAAGAAGAAAAATGTATAACTCTTAAATCAGGGCATCAACTTTTCCATATGGGAAACAAAGAAAAAATAGGAGTTGGACTTCTTATACATACGAGACACACTAAAAATATCCAACAACTTAAAGGTATCAACCCAAGAATAATACTCTGCATACTGAAGCTTAATAAAAAACCAGCCTTAAAATAATTCAAGCCTATGCACCTACATCTACACACTCGGACGAGGAAGTGGAAACCTTTTATAAAGACATAGAAAATGCTGTAAAACTAGCGCCTTCTACACACAACCTAGTAATGGGTGACTTTAATGCTAAGTTGGGATGTAAACTAGACGGGACCGAAGTAGCAATAGGTCCCTATGGATTCGGACAAAGAAATGAAAGAGGCGAAATGTTTTTGGGATTCTTGGTACGAAATGGCCTCTTTGCAATGAATAGCTTTTTCAAAAAATATCCCCAAAGAAAATGGACCTAGGCAAGTCCAGATGGAGTCACCAAAAATGAAATTGATTTTGTCTTAACCAACAACAAAGACATGATCCATGATGTAACAGTTCTTAATAGCTGTTCAGTGGGAAGTGATCATAGAATGGTAAGAGCGAAGATCGTGCTAAATCTCCAAAAACAAAGATACAAAATGATAACAAAAACACACCCAATAGAATGGAATCCAATCGAAAACACCATGTCCTTCGAAGAGGAAATTCTGAGATGTCTAGAGACAACAAATATAGACGTTATGGATATAGAAACCTTAAATGATAATTTAATAAAAGCTATTAAGAACGTAGAGAAAAAGTGCAATACAAATTCTAGGAGAGATAAGGAGGAAAAGCTCAGTCAAGAAACAAAAAGACTTATGGAGGCACGAAGAGAACTTAAGAACAAAAACGATACGAATGCACGCGTACTTCAACAACTTAATAAAGATATTAATAAAGCAGTGAGAAAGGACGTACGAGAATATAACACAAAAAAGATTACAACGGTTGTCGAGAAAAATAAAAGTTTAAAGGTGCTGAAGAGATGTCAAGCTCTAGGTAAGAAGAACATTGTTAAGCTCGCAGATCGAAATGGAAAAGTGGTAACAGATAAAGATAAGATAATTAAGGTAGTTGAAGAATTTTACACAGAATTATATAGGGAAAGGGGGAAGAAAGACGGCACCAAGTTGAGAAAAGTCCAGAATGTGGGTTCAGAGGATATCCCAGAAATAACAATCGAAGAAGTCTTAAAGTCATTAAATAGAATGAAAAACAATAAAGCAGCTGATGATGATCAAATCGTTATTGAGGCAGTTAAAGCAGGAGGAAAGACAGTATTAAAAGCATTGACGCAATTATATAACTTATGCCTTTCAAACGAGGTTACACCATCTCAGTGGAATAAAGCTGTTATAGTAGTCATGCACAAAAAGGGAGATATAACAGAGCTAAAGAACTATAGACCTATTAGCTTGTTATCTCACGTTTATAAGTTGTTTATGAAGATAATAACTAATAGGTTGACATCAAAACTAGACTTCTATCAACCTTGCGAGCAAGCAGGATTTAGAGCTGGATACGAAACAAATGATTATTTGCAAACCATTAAGTCGTTGATTGAAAAAAACCATTGAATATAATAGACCCCTGATACTTGTCTTTGTCGACTTTGAAAAAGCATTTGATACGGTCAATCAAAGTGAAATGCTCCAAGCTCTAACACAATGTAGAATAGATCACCGATACATATCTCTCATCAGATACATCTATCAACATGCTACAGCCTGTGTAAGACTTAATGAAGATACTGGGACTTTCCGTATTGAAAGAGGCGTTCGGCAAGGAGACAACATGTCTCCCAAATTATTTACAACTTTGCCAGAATACGCTTGTAAAACAATAGATTGGAACGAGAAGGGCATCAATGTAGATGGAAAATTTTTAAATAACCTTAAATTTGCAGATGATAATATTCTTATTGCAGACAGCTTTGATCAGGCACAGATAATGCTCCAAGAACTCCATACTGCCACAAAAAGAGTTGGTCTTACAATACATTTTTCAAAAACACAATTTATGACAAATTTAGTCCACAACAAAAACATCTCAGTAGAAGACAAAGATATTGAGCCAGTTGACTCCTATAAATACTTAGGCCATGAGATCAGAATAAGTCGAGACAACCAAACAATCGAGCTGAAAAGAAGAATAAACCTCGCTTGGGCTGCATTTGGAAGGATGAAGGATATTTTTAGGTCTAAGATTCCAATGTGTCTGAAAAGAAAAGTATTTAATCAATGTATTTTGCCAGTGATGACCTACGGCGCAGAAACCCTAACGCTCACAAGAACAACAGTAAGTAAACTACAAGTTGCGGAAAGAGCAATGGAGAGAATTATGTTAGGGATTTCTCTACGTGATAGAATACCCAATGCTACTATACGCAAAAGATCAGGAGTAGCAGACGTTATTGAAAGGATAACAACACTAAAGTGAAACTGGGCAGGTCATGTAGCAAGATCAGTTGATGACCGGTGGACAAAAAGAATTTTGGAATGGAGACCCCAAATACAAGCTTACAGAAATAGAGGTCGACCCCCAACGAGATGGACAGATGACATAAAAAGAGTGACTACAAATTGGATTCAGATGGCGCAAAATCGAACTAAGTGGAAAAGTATGCAAGAGGCCTATGTTCAGGAGTGGACGTTAGAGGCTAGTTGATGATGATGAAACAGTCAAAAAAATATTATTATTATTATTATTATTATTATTTTCCATCATATCGAAACTCTGTAACGATTTAATTTGGTATCATTTATAGGGATTATCATGTCTTGGATGACAAAATTTAAGAAACTAGAGCGGAAATATTGAAATTATATGCCAAACATAGAAATCTACATGCAGTGTGGATCTCAGAGTGTGCATACGCAGACGATCTCGTGATATTTGGGATAAATGAAGAAGCACTCAATCGAAATTTACAAGTATGGAACGCTGCACTAATTAACGAAATTTGAGGATCAATAATGAGAAGACATAAGTATTGGTATGTGGAAAAAAGAGAAAACCAACGAAGATAACACTTAACGGAAATACACTTGAACAAGTCGATACTTACAAATACTTGGGAGTACAAATAGAGAACAGAGGAACCGAAGAAACGGAAATAAGTTCCAGAATAGAAAGTGCTGCTCGGATGTACCAAGCAATTAAAGGTACGTTTTGTCAAAATAAAGAAGTATCCAAAAAGTCCAAGTGAAAGTTCGACGCCTACCGATAAATTAAAATCGAAAATACAGAGCATAAAAACGAAGTCTCTTAGAAGACTAATGGGTATAACCAGGTTAGACAGGATTAGAAATGAGGCAGTCAGAGAACATCTTAAGGTCCAATCAATTATTAAGAAAATTGAAGAGACCCAACTAAGATGGTACGGACACATGGTTAAAATGAATCAAGAAAGACCAGTTAAAAAAGTATGGGAAGCCAGAAGACAAACCAAGAGACCAAGGGGCAGGCCAATGAAGACATGAGATAATAATGTAACCTCAATCCTAGAGACACGAGGAATCAGCAAATAACAAGCAAGAAACCAAGAAAAGAATAAGAAGCAATGGAGAAAAATTGTACATGCAACTAACTAAAGACATTACACCCGACACTTTAGGGTAAATGAGTTTAGGATTATATATATATATATATAAATATATATATATATATATATATATATATATATATATATATATATATATATAATATATATATATAAAGGGAGTTGAGGTTAATTGGGTATACAGCTGATTAAAAGCCAAGTGCACTCTGTTCAACAGTTCATTATATTTCGCCAATTTTCATTGGCATCATCAGATGAAAGCTACAATTATTCAAAACATGGTAAAAATAAAAATAATAAAGTAAAAAAAATACATTCAATAGTTGTTTGTTGTTTAAGTCTTACTTGATTGAGGTTGCGGCAATATGATTTATTTTAACATCAGAATGGTTTGTGGTACGATGTGGATTGCAGCTTTTTGGGACATATAACATGTAGTTGTATAATTGACGTTCAAAATTAAAATATTAGAAATGACACGATACAAATTAAAAACAAAACAAACAAAAAACGTTTAGTTCGCAGACAGTCATTAAGGTTAAGTACTAGAAATACCAAAT